AATGGTAGACTCAGAGGACTCTAAATCCTAGATATGTTGGTTCAAGTCCAACCTGGGGTAAACTGTTGTAGCTTAATGGATAAAGCTGTACACTTTTAATGTATAGATTGAGGGTTCAAGTCCCTCCAACAGTAGTAGAAGTTAAAAAAAGATAAGTAAATCTTAAAATTTATATGTGTATGATCATAGCTCACTATTTACGCAATTTATTGACTTAACACATGCTGGTGAAATTAACAATAATATTGTATTTTGCATAGAGGTGAGAAAGAAATCTATTTACCCAGTTATTCCCTTTTTTATTTCTGGATAATTCATTTCTAGGTTTAGGTATAAGGGTTTTATTCCCTTGCCATTAATCCTTAGCATTTAGCCACAGAATTTTTATAAAAAGAAATTCCCTTAGGCAGCAGTGAGGAATATTGGGCAATGAACGAAAGTTTGACCCAGTCGATAAAAAAATATATTGATAAAAAAAATTAGAAATTAAATTGAAATTCTTTTTTATTAAAGTCCTGGCCAAAACTTGTGCCAGCAGCCGCGGTAATACAAGTAGGGCTGCGTAATTGATAATAAACAGGCATTAAGTGTGATAAGATTGGAGTTAAACTCCTAGAGTAATTAAGATAAATATAGATGAATAATTAAAGTAAGGATGGAATCTGGAGATTTTAGTTAGAAAACCTAAAGCTACTGCATCATTTAATTAATTAACTGACATTGAATCACTAAAGTGTGGGTAGCGATACAGATTAGATACCTGAATAGTCCACACCCTGAATACTGAATGTTTGTATAAGTACTTAATGGGTAAAACATTCCGCCTCCGTAGTATAATCCCAAGATTGAAATGGAATTGATTTAGCGGGTCTTAATATTAACTGTGGATTATTGCGATTTAATTGGTATATACGCCCAAATCTTACCTTCTTTTACTTTTATTTAAGTGAATCTTTAGATTCTTTGGTGTTGCATGGCTGTTGTTAGTCAATTCAGTAATGATTAATTGACAAAAATCACCTTTTTGTGTTTAACTACAAGTAATCATGGCCCAATAAGAAGGGCTATACGCGTAATACAAAGATAATTTTAATTCTTTAAATATTATCTCAGTTCAGACAATTACCTGTAATGGTTTTTCTAAGTTGGAATAGTTAGTAATCGCCTCTTTTAGAATAAGGCGGTAAATATTTTATTAAGATTGTATAAATTGCCTGTCACTGCCGTTGATTTATTATTAATTTAATTGATAGATGGTAGAAGTCATAACAAAGTCGTGGTATCGGAAGATGTTGCGTAATTAGATAAAAATTAAATTTCTTTCCTATATTATTTAAATATTTTATTTTTTGTATTCTTAAATCTTTTTTTTCTTTTTATTATGTTAAAGTAGGGTAAATTCATTGGTGCTGGTTTAGCTTTATTTGGTTTAACAGGTGCTGCTATTGGTATTGGTTTAATCTTCTCTTCTTATATTAGTGGTGTTTCTCGTAACCCTGCTTTACAACCTCAATTATTCAGTATTGCTATTTTTGGTTTCGCTTTAGTTGAATCTTTAGGTTTATTCTCTTTAAAGAAGAGTTTAATGATGTTATATGCTATCTAATTTTTTTTTATTATTTAATAAGAGGTATAGTTTAATGGTAGAATAAAGATCTCCAAAATCTTTGATGTAGGTTCGATTCCTACTACCTCTATTATCAGAGTGTAGCTCAAATGTAGAGCATTAGCTTTGGGAGCTAAAGGTTGCGTGGTCGAACACGTCACTCTGAAAAAGAGTATGGAAAATTGTAAAAAAATACGTCTGATGACGGATAAATTAAAAAAAATTATGTTAATAAAAATTTTATATTTAACTTTATGTTCTTTTGGTATAATATCTGCTTTTATGATCTTAACTTCTTTAAATCAAATTACAAGATTAGGTTTTATTATTAAGGTCTTTATTTTTAATGCTTTAATTTTTATTCTTTTAGATAATTATTTTTTAGGATTAACTTATATTATTGTTTATGTTGGAGCTATTGCTGTTTTATTTATTTTTGTAATAAAGATGGTTAATAGTTCTAATGAATTAAATAAAAAAAATAATTATAATCAAAATAGATTATATGATGTTCTTTTATTTGTATTTTTATCTTCTTTAATTATTTATCTTTTTTCTAATTTTAATATAATTAATTAGGAATCTACTAAAGGATTATATTTATATAATTATTTCTATATCGATTATTTTACTGAATTCTTATCTTTTTCTGATATTGAATCTTTAGCTTTTATTTTATTCTTAGCTTATCCTATAGTTATAGTTTTAATTGGAATAATATTATGGATTATTTTAATAGGAATTTTAAGAATTAGTAATAATAATTAATTTTTATTAATTTTTGATTGTATAAGAACTCATAAGAGTAAAATTTTGTTTTTACAAAATTAATTTAAAAATATTATGAATAATATAATTTCTTATGGTATAAATTTTTCAGGTATTTTAATATTAATTAGTTTATTAATATTATTAAATATTAAAGCTAATAATGGTAAAAATTTAATTATTTTAATTATTTCTTTAGAATTATTTTTATTAGCTATCGCTCTCTTATTTATTCATTTCTCCTTTTTATTAGATGATTTAACAGGATCTTTATTTTCTTTAATATTATTACCTTTAGCTGGTTCAGAATCAGCTATTGCTTTAAGTATATTAATATCATATTATCCAAAACGTGGAAGTATAAATCATTAAGAAAGGTCAAATTAAGTTATTTAGTTTTATTACAGAGATAAAAAAAAATTTTTTTTTCTCTATTATTTTTTATTTTATGATAACTAGTTTAATTATTATTTTAATTGTAGTTGTTAAGGTTATTTTTGCTACTTTAAGTGAAAGAAAAGTTAAGGGTGCTTGTCAAAGACGTATAGGTCCTAATACAGTTGGTATATATGGTTTATTACAACCATTAAGCTAGTGGTTTTAAAATAAGGCTTATTATGAGTAAATAAATATTTATTATTCATAAGATTATTGAATAATCTTTAACGACTTACGCCTTACAAATAAATTAAATATTTGAAGAAATAGTCTAATATTTTTTATAACAATAGCATATTTTTATAGATTTGGTATATCCATTTAATCAAAATTGGGCCCAGATTTTATAACAATATTTTTGTAGTTAAAAGAATATGAAATCAAGATTTTATTAGTTTTATTTAGTAGATTTATTTTATAAACTTTTTATTTAATAATGATGAAAGTTTTTTATTAATTTGATTTTTATCTCTATTTAAAAGTTCTTTAAACTTTATAATTTTATTTTTAAATATAATAGATGACCTAGTGTTAAAAGATTTAAAAGATATAATAAGATTTTTCATTGCTCTAATATGAATAATTATTTCTATATAAAAAAAAGATAATAAATCAGATATTTATAAAATCACTTATTTACCTTATATATTATTTTTTTATATTGGTAATTCTTAAGATTTAGGTAATTGATTATAATATTATCGTTTTATTACTACAAAATATATTGGTATTAATAGATGTATTTTATTAGTAAAATTAGATATTGATATTTCTTTTAAAGGTTTTTATTATAATAATAAATTTATTATTCTTGAAATTTATTTTTTTTAATTATTTATTCTTATTTAAAATATTTCCTATAGTAGCAGATGGTGTAAAATTAATATTAAAAGAAAAGATTATACCTAATAATGTTAATGGATTTTTATTTGTATTTAGTCCTTTTTTCTTTTTTGGTATTTCTTTATTAAATTGGGTAGTAATTCCTTTAAATTATGGTATTAGTATTAGTGATTTTCAAGGTATAAGTGTTCTTTTTTCTATTACTTTATCTGAAATTTCTATTTTAGGTTTATTATATGCTGGTTATTCTAGTAATTCTAAATATAGTTTATTAGGTAGTTTAAGATCTATTGCTCAAATGATTAGTTATTCTGTAACTAAGAGTTTAGCTATTATTTGTATATTATTTACTGTAGGTTCAGTAGATTATTTAACTATTTTAGAATCTCAAATTAATAATGGATTATATTTAGCTTTATTACCTGTAACTATTATTCTTATTATTACTTGTGTTGCTGAATTAGGTCGTCCTCCATTTGATTTATTAGAAGCTGAATCAGAGTAGGTAGCTGGTCATATGACTGAATATAGTTCTATTTCTTTTGCTTTCTTTTTTTTAGCAGAATACAGTATGATGTTATTCATGGGTGTTTTTATTAGTGTATTATTATTTGGTTAGAGTACTCCTGTACCTTTCTTATTTTTTTTATTTTTAATTAGAGCTTCTTTTCCTAGAGTTCGTATTGATAATATTTTATATTTTAATTGGGGTCATTTATTACCATTTTTAACTGGTTATATTATTTTATTATATCCTTAGTTATTAATTTTATCTTAATAATTTAAATTTAACTTAATTTTAGTTACTTAGTTTTTTTCCTTTTTTTTTATTTATTATGGGTATTTTACAAATTAGTTTAATTATACTTATTGTTATTTCTGCTATGTATTTAATTTCATTTTGGGCTATTCCTAAAAAAGGTGATTTAGAAAAATTAAGTGCTTATGAAAATGGATTTAATCCTATTGGAGATGCTAGAATGAAAATTGATATTATTTATTGGATTATAGGTTTATTATATTTAATTTTTGATTTAGAATTAATATTTTTAATTCCTTTTGCTTCTATTATTTATTCTATTAATTCTTTTTTTGCTTTTTCTGCATTAATGTTTTTTTTAATTATTTTAGCTTTAGGTTTTGCTTATGAATATATATCTAATGCATTAAATATTTTACCTCCTAAAATTCAAAATTAAAAAATTTTGTTACTTAAATTTTTTCTTTTCTATGTCTAGTCTAAGACATTAAATTAGACCTTTATAATAAATTAAATATTTGAAGAAATTTTATTTATATATTTTATGAGAATTACTAAAACTAATCCTTATTTAACTTTAGTTAATGAATTTATTATTGATTCCCCTGCTCCTATGAACATTAATTATTTTTATAATTTAGGTTCTTTATTAGGTTTAAATTTAGTTGTTTTAATTATTACTGGAGTAACTTTAGCTATGCATTATGCACCTACAGTAGAATTAGCATTTATTTCTTCAGAACATATTGTTCGTGATGTAAATAATGGTTATTTAATTCGTTATACTCACTGTAATGCTGTTAGTATGTTCTTTATTATGGTTTATATTCATATCGGTAAAGCTTTATATTATGGTAGTTATAGAGCTCCTCGTAGATTATTATGGATTGTAGGTGTGGTAATCTTTATAATTAAGATGGCTAATTTGTTGGCCAAAATATATTTATTAATTTTTAAAGGTATTTTTATTAATTTTACTAATAAATCTTTTATTTACGATCAAAGATCTGATACTTATAATATATTTAATACTGCTATACCTTTAGCTTTTATTGCTCCTCGTGTTAGGGCAAATAAAAGAATAGGTCCTCATAGTTAGAAAGTATTAAGTATATTAGTAGGTAGTTTATTAGGTGATGGTCATTAGCAAAAAATATCCAATAATTCTTATAGATTTAGATTTGAACAATCTGAAAAACATAAAGATTATATTTTTTGGTTGCATAGACAATTAAAAAAATTAGGTAAGACTTCTTTAAAACCTATTACAAAAAGAATAAGATCTAATGGTAATATTATGTATTATTTTTATACTTATACTTTTAGTAATTTTTGTTTTTTACATAATGATTTTTATGGTAATTTTCCTTATAAAAAAAGAATACCTTTAAATATTTATCTTTTTGAAGAATTATTAACTCCTCAAGCATTAGCTATATGGATAAAGGATGATGGAGGTACACAAAAATATGGATTAACAATTGAAACTCATTCTTTTACTGAAAAAGAAGTGGATTATTTATGTGAACTTTTATTTAGAAAATTTAATTTAAATTGTAATAAAAACAAAACAGGTACTATAAATCAATTTAGAATTCGAATTAAAGAAGAATCTTTAAAAGATTTAGCTATATTAATTAAACCTTATATTCATATTAGTAAGTATTATAAATTAAGAAAATATCTTAATTAATAAATATATAGTCCTACTTAGATTGTCACGGCAACAAAAGAGTTTAATTATTCTCTTATTTTATAGCAATATTTATATAAAATATAAAATTACAAGTAGATCCATTTAGTGGATTAATAAAATTAAGTCCGTGTTTACTAATTTTATTAGGCTATGCTGAAGAAACGATTAAAAAGATAACTTTTCATCTTCAGATCGTAGGTGGTATAAAACATCTCGACAGACTGGATCCTCAGCAGGTGGCTGGAATGCTGCTCAATGCACAGTCGGAATTCAAACCCACGAATATAAATATTTGCGGAGTTATCAAGGCCTTTAGGGTACAAGATATTAAAATTAGGAGAAGTAGACTATTAAAGAGTCGAGCAGTAATTAAAAATTGCTTATATTTTAATATTTGAATTTGACAGCTTTTATTGGTTATTATGGCCAAAAATGGTTAAAAAATTTTCGTAACTTTTCATCTAAAAATTCTAAATCAGATTTTCCTGAATCTTCTCCTGAATCTTCTCCTAAAAATTCTCTTGAATTTTTTCCTAAAGATTCTCCTGAAGATTCTAAATTAAATTATAAAAAATCAAAGAATCCTATTAATCATGCTATAAAAATTTATGATAATTTACATTTAATTGAAACACAAATTTTAATTAGAAATGAAAATAGT